TTTCAACAGCATTTTCGAAAACTTCACATTTTGGTTCTTAATGACAACACAGTTTGGATTTTTTTTACAATTAGAGCTATTTTATGAGCAATAAGCCAAAGTATTAAAACCCTCTCCAAATGTTTACGAGGTATGAACTGTAAGTGAAACCATTATGCAGAGAATTCCAAACAGTTACAAGCTGGACATCAAGTCATCATGGAATCGATCTGAAGACAGCAGAACAGTTTTCAGGAGGGACACTCCCATCACCACTCTCACGGGTAAACTACTATACCCTGAAAGTATTCAAAGGGTGTGGCAATATTCAAATTCTGTGGCTAGAAAATTTCCATTTCCCAGATGTTAAAGGTAAGATCTTATATTAAAACAGCTGTAAACAGAAAGGCATAAAATCATACAAAACTGAAACCATCTACATACAAGCATAAAAAAAAAACCACAATGGCAATGGAAACTGCCATCTTTTATGTCAGCTGAAACCACCGAGAACTCAATCCTGTAAGGCAGTAAAAGAACATACAAGTACAGGTAGAATAAGACAAAGTGATGCTCACACCAACAACAAATGAAATACCACAGTTTTGGAAATGCGTTCCTGCAGCATACTCAAAGCAAGGTACCTCACCTCCCCGGCTCTGCCTGCACTCCAAAACTCCACAATCCGCACAGGCAGAAGGATCCCAAGAAGTCCTGTCCTCCCCCAACCCCTTGCCAGCGGGCCATCTCTTGAAAGTGGATAACCTCTTGTTTTCATGCTTCTTGCAGCAATACATTAGGTTTGAATGAGTTTTAACTGGCAGATTCTCACGGAGCATAACCATAATAGGGCTTGCCAACAGTCCTCGTTGTTGCTGAACTTGCATGCTGTATTGCTGTGGTGTTGAGGCTCTTGTCTCACCAACACTAACCCCATCACAGGTTTTGGTTTCAAACCTCACTTGAGTTGACTCCAAACTGAAGTTTTTCAAGTAAATGGAGGTGCCTCCCTCATGTTTGTCATCTGTAAGGACTGAGGTTCTGAAGCCTGAGAACCACAACTTAAAAAATAAAAGTTAGACGCAGCTATAGCTTGAGAGGTGAACCACGTACAAGCTGCAGGAGACTCAGATTTTAAGGCTGAATTCCTGTGACTTGTTACTATCTGTATGTTAAGAATTCTATTTAAGTTCTAATAGCAATTATTTAATTTTAACTGAGGAAAAACTGAATTCATGCCAAAGGAGGAACAGTAGCTACAGAAACATTACCCGTATCTCTTTGCCATTATAAAAACATAGGGAGCCATCATAAAGAAAAGATTCCCAGCAGACAACAATCCCAGAACTCTGGCCTCTAATCCAGGACTCCTTGCCCAATATCCCTCCTCCCTCAACAAATTAAATCATATTTAAATGATAACTGCATGTTAGGCCAAGTTTGTTCAAGACCATTTCAAAACAGACTATTAAGCAAACATCCACAAAGTAATGTCTTGCCTTTCAGTTTTGCTCTCTCTGGAACTCTCATCACTGGAGGGCAAAAAAACCTTCAGCACATTAATTCGGAAAGCAGCTGGAGAGAGAACAATATCAAAGCCATTCATAACAAGAACAAGTAAGAATATATTAGCAGAGCACATTTTAAAAATAAACATGCTGGTTTGCAAACTGAACCATAATTCAGTGGATTAGGAAACTCCCAGGGGATCTGTTCAGGAGCAAACCAGAACCTCAACGGGAAGAATTTTTACCACTCAATTAGAGATTTCCGGGCAGCGTAGACCACTCGGTCACCAGTGCTGTGATCAGGTATGCTCCCACACCAGCACCCCAAACCGCTGCCATGGGCCATTCACCGTAACTTTTTCCCACTTTGTTTTAGGAACTGTACCCCAAAATGAGGAAAAAAACACCTTCCATTTTGGATACTGAAAACACAAAAACAGCCTACTGAAGTAGAACAGAGGTCCAATACCCTGTGTTCAACAGTAACCAATACATGATGCTACAGACCACGCTGTAAGTTCATGTACTTTCTCCCGAGTCCTGAAACTTTCTTCAGCTAACAGTCTAAAGGTTGTAATGTCACTTTACCAGAGATGCTTATTAAGCAAAATAATCAAACAGAAACTCTTCTCAGAATCAACAACCAAAACGTTGCAATCTGTTCAGGACACAGTAACACTGGGCCTGCTTACTTGCCCTCCAAAGATGTTAAAACCAAACAGCCTCAGAAGCGGATGCTCCTCAACAAACAGGACCACAAGAGCCACATTCTCAGCCACTGTGGTGTTGGAAGACACCAGAAACAGTCTCTTCAGGTAAACACAAGAGAAGTGGCACTAGCATTTCAAACGACCTCCCTCGGTCAGGAAAGTAAGAGAAGAGACACAAAGAATTTCTCTCTCAAACTAAAACTATTAGGTTCTCCATCAATATTAATAATTGAAGAAACACAGAAGACAGTCTTGTGATTTCTGTGATCAAAAAAGTACAAGGTAACCTTAAAGCCAAGGTTTTAAAAGACATCCATATCTGTGCTGTACAGCCCTTAATGCCTCTGAAACCCATCTGCAGTGCAACACTGAAGACTTTACTCAGACCCACAATAATGCAAATATATTTCAGCACATCCAAGATGTTCGTTTCCTCATCACCCGGCCCTAATGACATCTGAAGTCATAGGAAATAGAGGCCAAACACGTAAACTGCATCCCTTCCCATGGAAGTTGTATGCTCAAATTCTCTCCTGACACCCAGTCAAGAGCTGTACAGCAGCAAGCGTGCCATGAAGCCTTAATCGGCTGGGTCTCATGACTGACCTTTTCAAAAGAAATGCTGGAAACAACAGGTGAAAGATAAAGCAATACCAAGACTATGGAAACAACGGTCTGGATATTTGAGGCTAGACTGTCACCTTCCTCTTCAAAAGCAGCTTTGTTTGGAGTTTGTCTGTGATTCTCTAGACTGCTGTTTCTGGCGCAGAGGCATCCTGACTAGCCTTACAGCAGTGACCGTGCACCCTGCTGATGCTTGGTCCTACAGGAATGAAAAATTGGTGGAATTCCCCAAAGACCACTGTGCTTACTTGACTCCTGGAAAAGTTAGTCCTTGAAACTTAGTATTTCAGAGTCTCACAGAAAAGCCAAATTATATCCTTCTTGCTTTCTGTTCAACTTCATCAGTCCATTTTGCCAAGCTTCCCAATATGGATGGATAAATGAAAAGGTCTGGCTACCTGCTTACACACCAGAGAGCCTTAACGACTACGTTTGTTCATGTGGTGAGTGCAGGACAGTCTTGCACCTTCCCTGGTTTGAGGATACAGCCAGAATAAGCTTCTACCCTCTCCCTGTACCCTTCCTCCCTTCCCAGAGGTCTGGCTGCCTGCGTTTCAAGGATCCCAGGTCCACCTTTGGTGCAGCTCATCTGTACGACCTTGGCCAGGCTGCTGAAGAAACTGCTAGAGCTGTGGGAAAGACTTCTGATGAAGTCTGTAGAGAGAGTTAAAAAAAGGCAAGGGGGGGGCAGGATTATAGGCAGAGACAGACAGGTGTCATTTACAGCTCAAGGATTCAACAGGACAAAACACCAGCTGAGAATGGTAAAAAAAAAAAAAAATCCTAAAGAAAAAACACTAGGGAGGTGGTGTTGACAGATAGATGACATCAGCGATGACAGCAACCTAACAACACTGAGGAGCCCTTTCAGTGAGCAGCGAGGCCTTCTCTTCCCGATGCCCATCTGGTCAGCAATTACTCTTTGGCTGTCCTGCTGTGGGCAGCCAGCACACTAATGCTTAGAATAGCAGTCAGCTAAATCCTACCAGCCTTAGCGCATGTCTAGCAATAAATAATTGGTTTGCGCTGTTAAAATCTCTCTAGCCTGCCTGCAGAGTCTCTTTGCGCAAGGCTAAAGCCCCCTAAGCAAAGTGACCCACCCAGAGAGGGATGTTAAAGTTGACAATTCACTACACCGATCTGGACAAAAGCCGGTAAAAATACACAGAAAACTCCTCTCTCACAGGAACAGGAAGCGACAGTCAAAAGCAGCGGGTACTAGCAGATATGAAGCAAGTAAGAAGTCCTGCAAGCGGAAAAAGGGAAATGCAGCTCTGAGCAGCAATACCGTCGAGTTCAAGCTCTCAGGTTGAAGGTGAAAAAAAAAATGGTACCTACATCTTGAAGCCGTCAGCTGTCTATCAACAACAGAAACACCTTTTAAGTCAGCTGTGCAGTACAAAAATCAATCATAAACAAAACAGGAGGCTTAAGTTACAGGTTTGGTAATGAGGCCTTGTAAGAATCTGGAAGCTGCTTTCTCTAGTGAGAAGTTTCATCTGAATTCACAGTCTCATATAGTCACTGAAAGCAAAATTTTCTGTTGATTTGCCTCTATAAATGGTATTGGATTTTCTGGATACGTGCTAATTACAGAGCAGTCAAGTAAAGACTGCATTTCAGTAGAACGACACTTGGGGAACCCAGGCATACTGCAGAGACCAATACTATTGCTAACCAAATATTCACCCACAGCCAACACCTTCAGGCCACAAAGACAGAGCAATGGCAAGCCTGGGAACCCCGAATTATCACACTGTTTGCCCTGACAGCAGCGTGGCTTTAAACGTGTAGAGGGCCGACCCGAGCCGCAGCCAAGTACCGGCACAGCCACTCACTCCCACACCCCCTCCCCAGTGGGACAGGGAGAAGAAAAGCAAGAAAGCTCATGAGATGAGATAGAAATGGCATGAAAAGTGAAATGGGGGGAGCAAAAAAAAAGGCTATCACTCACCACCTCCCACCTGCGGACCAGTGTCCAGCCAGGCTCCAAGCAACGGCCACCCTGGAAGCCAAAACTCTCCTCTTTCTTCCTCCACCCCATTTATACTGCTGAGCCTGACATTACAGGGTACGGAACATCCCTTTGGCCGGTTCGGGTCGGCTGTCCCAGCTGTGTCCCCTCCCAACCTCTCGCCCACCCCAGCCTACTCTCTGGGGCAGAGAGCAGGAAAAACAAAAAGCCAGGACACTGTGCAAGCCCTGGCCAAAACACGGGTGTGCGACTAACACCGGTTTAGTGAAGGCAGTGAACTCCATCCCAGCCGGGGCCAGTACACACCTACTTCACACAATCTGAGCGTGGAGCATAGCGCACGGGTTAGGAGCAAGACACCAACAGAAGGAAAATAAACTAAAACAAGTCATGCCCAGAACACCTTGATCTCCAGCTCAGTAGGACATTAAGCATTAAACAAATTGCATCTAAACCAGAGCCCTCCATCCCTCCTGGTCCAACTACATCAGAAGCAGCAACATAAACTCCAGACCCCAAATACAAGAAATTCAGGTTTGATATAAGTCAGACTTCTTTCCCAGAAATACCAAATCAACCATACACATTATGACAGCTTGAAAATGAAACCAGATGATTTGTTCCTTGCTTTCCTTCAAACCTACATAGACTTATTAAACAGACTACTTCCATTTGAAACAAATACAATTGTCCTACTACACACCCTATCGATACCCAGCAAGCACCTCCCGAAAAGCAGAATCAACTAGCAGAACAAATTCAAGAACAGGACTGCAGACAGCTGAAGTGCTAACTTGTAATTCCCTCCTGCCTCTGTATTTCCCTCTTTGGCAATTGTCATGGTTTAACCCCAGCCGGCAACTACACACCACACAGCTGCTTGCTCACTCCCCGCCCCAGCAGGGTCGAAAGGAAGAGAACTGGAAGGGT